ATGCAGACCATTGATTTCTTCCCACCTATTTTCTTGTCCATAAAGTGGGCCTAATGACTTTTCAGAGAGGCTTTCCCTGGCTGTATTTGCCCTGGAGCCCGCTTTGTCCTCACTTGAAAAGTTTAACTTCAGATAACAGAGAACGTAAAAAGGACTACATGCTGCAGCCCATTTGCTGTGCTTAGCGTCTGGAGTGAATGGTGGCTCACCTTTGTCTCCAGGTGCAGGAGTGGGCTGGAGACCTACCCCCACCCCCATGGTTAACCCAAAGCAGGTTGCTGGGGTGTATATGGCCACGTGTTATAGCTGGACAGCAACAACGATGGGGCCACAGTTGCAGGATGATTTCCACAGATATTTATTTTAAACCATGGAGGCAACTTTGCGTTGGAAACGTACACTGGTAATGGCTACACGTACAGTTCAGTTGGAGGGAAGCGCAGTGGGAAAGTGAGCAGAGTTTAGAAACATTCCCAACATTCAGCAGCATTTGAAGTAGAACTGAATACAGACATTTTAACACTGTAGGAAATTTCTGCTCAGTCCCACTTGATCACATTCAGGAAGTCAAGGTCAAGACTGCTTGGTTTGGTTGGTGGGATCAGTGACAGAAACCACATCTGAGAAATCTGTTCTATCTTCAGGCTTTTTACATTTTCAACTGGATCCCCTGGAGAATCTCACTTCAAAAAGAAAAAAAAATATCCTAAAGTAACATGCCCGCTGCAGCCAGGCTCTGGCGTGGCCACAGACCGCTGGGCGTGCAGACAGACATGCCCGCGCCCCTGGTTATGGCTACAGTGGCCGACGGGCAGAGGTGGGGCTAGCGCCTCCCTGTTGTCCAGTTAATAACAGTCTTACTTTTCATAGATTTTCTTTCACAAAACAGTACATTGAAAAAAAGTCATTTAAAAGCAAGGCAAATGGCGTAAAACACAAATATGTATGAGAGTACAATGGTTACCAATGACACAGTATTTTGGTCCATACTTCATATTGGTGTATGCTACTGACATAAGGTTGTCACCCATTTAAACGGGGAAAAAGTGTATGTAAGTGAAAAACTTTTTTCAAACCATTTCCCTTTCTGTGTTATAGTTCTCCCTCTCGTGCTTCCCAGAGAACCAAGGGGGTAAAGGGGAGGAGGAAAGAAGCATGAATATCAGGGTCAGATTCTAAATTTAACCTTTTAAACCAACCTGTAGTCCCTGACACTTTCTCTTCCAAGAAAGTCAGATACACTTTTGACTCATAAACGTGAACATTTTAAGGCAGAACAGAAGACAGAGATGTTGCGATAGGCTCCCATTTATCTGAGTTAAGTCAGCCGCGTGTGGGTCAGCCACTGATAATAGTCTAGGTCAGTTCAATAATAAATAACATTCATGGAATCACAGGATCTCGGGACTGGAAGGGTTCCTAAAAGCAATCATCGAATTCAACCCATATTCTAGGTAATCTCCTTCCCACATCACTGACAAGGGGCCATACAGTTTCCATTCCCTGGCATGGGAAACTCAAAGGAGGGATCCCATTCCAGTTTTGGACAGATCTAATGTTTAGATATTCCTTTGGTGTGTCAGGCCTGAATATGCTTCTCAATGGGAAGGACAATGTTTAAAGACAAAGTCAAACCCCCTCAATCAGTAGTATATAACACGTGGTTGTAAAGTTAAGTTAACGTTTAAATATGAACATGGATGTTCTGGAACTAAGTTATGGACATAGGATACTTGGGTACTGAAGGACAAAGGCAAATGCATGGCACAGCAGGAATTAGAAAGTGCCAAGCCCCACGGTGAGAGGCTGGGCGTGCCCCTGCCTGGGCAGAGCCCCTTTCACTGTCACTGACTTGAGAAAAAAGTTCCCTTCCGCTTGGAGAGTGCCATGCGATGAGGGTTCATCACATTTACCACACTGCACTGAAACGACCCTGCTCCTGAACCCAAAGGCTCGGCTCTGCGTATTAGTGTGATGCCCGCTGTCTAGAACAATCTCCTCCTGCTCAGGTCAAGGTTGTTCCTTTTTCAAAGGGGAGAAGCTAGCTCAGCCCACTTATGTACCAGTCATCGTGCAATTAGTATGTAGATTCCTCCAGGCCACGTCCATGCATGTGTGGTCTCCAGCTCTATCCACCTCAATGTCTCCAGTGAGGGGCTGTGTACCCACAAAGTTCAGAAATTAGTTACCATGGGTCATTTTAAGATAACAATTCTAGGCATTTCCAAAGAAAAAGAAACTCTGATCCTAGCCTGGACTGCAGGAAAACCTTGACTCTAAAACTGATGAGCCTCTAAGTAAACAAACGCCTCAAGGCCAAGTATGTGCTGCCTCCCTCTCTGCAGTCATAAGCATCTGCGTCTCAACGTGAGGGGAGCTCAGGCTCCAGGACTGCAGCCCAGAACTTGATATTCTCTGGCAACTGCAAACCACCTGTAGCCCGATGCAGCAGGCTGATGCCAGATCACGGGCCTTTGTTTATGCTGTTTCTGCAGCCTGGAAAGTCATTTCCTTACTCTACTCACCCTTTAGCTCGCTCTCAGATCAGCAAAGACCTTTCCTCAGCAAAGTCCCTCTGGCCCCACCCACACTGTACTGAAATGACCCATCTTCACAGCTGTGTGGCCTCTGCCCTGGCCTGGAAATGGACGTTGTCATCCCAGGCCTAGTTCAAAGCCTGGCATAGAGTGAGCACTCAGCAAATGGTTGGCCGAAATGGACTGGAATCTCAAGGATTACCCAGATAATCGAGTGTTAAAAAGGAACTTAATTTCTGTGTTTTGCAGTCAAATTGCTAGATATCCATGCTTTCACATTAGGAAAAATTTAACTTAGCATTATTTAACTTAGCAAAATGCTTCCTTTCACTTTAAAATGTAAATCTTAGTGAACAAGGTCTTTACAGACAATAAATTATATGAAAAGGCAAAACCAAGAGTGTCATTTAATGAATATTTATATTCAGTAACTTTGATACATAGTTTAGAGCTATCTCTTTGCTTAAAAGTCAAAATTCAGGCTTTAAAAATACATTGTTAAGCAAAAATAAATTATGCTTTAGAAAAATTAATCTCAAAACATGCAAAGGTAATGTTCCATAGGAAGGGCAAATGCTATAGGCCCAGCAACTCACTCAAGGCCAACCTGTTATGAGCCTTCAGACAAATGGGGTAGAGGTGCACTGACAATGCCCCTGGATTTCCACTTAAGTATTGCCACTGCGTGGTCTGTGGGGAAAAGTGCAGGAAAGAGTTTATACTGATGAAGACTTGCAATAATTGCCTTACTACACGGTAGCCACCCACTCATAACCACAGGGCTGGGCTGAAGAAGTGTCAAATTTGCTTCTGATAAGGAACAAACCTGGCTCCTGAGGCGCCGTCTCAAGGCACTGACGTCACTTCCCTCGCCCGTGCCATTACCGGGTAATGTTCAAAAACAATTGTTCCTTGAAAACCCTTCTTTTAGATTCTCTTGTTTACACCTCAGCTAGTCTAACTGCCTGGTGGAACTAGTGTTTTGTGCATGGAACATTCTAGATATCTGAAGATCCCTTCCAGTTTCATGATTTTATGATTCTTTGAATAATTCAAACAAATATATCATGGTTGACTGACCTCATAGAAAAGACACACAAACTTCAAGGTCTTAATGTAAAACCACCTTTGCTACTGTGGAGACATACACAGGCAGTTAAAGGTTCCAGTAACATCATTTCTTTGGAGAAACCGAGAGCACGTGATTGGTTTTATCCTCCCAAAGAAAGAACTATGTGCAGTTCTGCCACTTTCCCAACATAGCCATGCGAGGCATTACTTGCCAGAGCTGCTGTGTGTTGAAGTAATACAGCAAAATTTATGTAAAGTGCAAATCCAATAGGGTAAAGCAAGAACTATGACAATTCACCTAGACAGGAGGAAAGACAAGTGCAGGTGCCAGCTTCCGCCCTTGTGAATGAAGCCTCCATTTCCATAAAATGTTTGGAAGATACCCAACACCAGCACACAGATCTGAGTTACAAAAACAGTGGAGATTCAACATAATTCACAGTATTACAAACATACAAATGCAAGCACCCATTCACTTGAGGAGAAAGAAAAGGGCAGAGCAGTGGATACCTTGACATAGCTGTGGTTTGTGATTGCAACTCTCCTCACCAATGAAGTGTCAAGTGGTTTCAGTCTCCGAGTGGCTCTGTGGGCTGGGGGACAGCCATGCTGGGAGGGAGATGGCTACAGTGAAGTGCAGGGTCACAGACAGAGCCACCGTGGTGCACATGTGATCCCACAGGGACAATCACCTTCCCAAATGGGGTGTGAGCTCATCCAGACCTGACTCAGATCCATGCCAGGCACGCAGGGTGCCTGATCTACTGCCTTTCTAACACTGTGTCTTCCTCTCTGCATGTTCCAAAAGCTGGAAAACAGAGTGATCCATCCCTATTATTCATTTCCAACATAGTTCTCTATTATGTACAATTTAGTAATGGCTGCAGGTTCTAGTAATAAATTGCAAAATAGATACCTGAATATTTTTAATTTAATTCCCTTTTTAAAGCTCTCACAGAGCAATCATGCAGTACAGACTCTGATTGACTTTAACAGCTTGATGGCAAGCAAGGGTAATGTGGAAGGGGCCAGTGAAGGGACAACTGGTAATCACTTCTGTGCACACACACGTGTGCATCTGAGCCTAGAGTATGGTCACGCGGGCTGGTCTGATGTCTCAGGTGATGGCTGTTGTGTCCCGTGGCTGATGGGGGAGCACCAACGCTGCAGCCATCATCTCTAGGAAACTCCTTCCCCAGGAAGCACGCTAGGTCAGTATTAGGGGTGGTACCCAAGTATGGTTGGTAGTAGTTCTTTTGGTTAGAAAGAAAAGTTATTAATGACCATGAGGGAAAAATTTGCTTTCCAGTAAAAGAGAAAAAAAATCGGGAGGATTTAAAATACTACCACTAAAAACTTGTCAAATCAGAAGTGAACAAGAGACTGTGGAGGTAGGACTTGGAGAGAATGGGCAAGTAATTGGTCTGTTTACCTGCAAAGTTTTATTTAACCTGGTAGTAATCCCCAAGAGACTTAGTGATCCCACAAAACCCCCCAACAGGTGAGGGTTGATTGAGGTGATACCATGTAACATGCTTAGAATGGGGCAGGCACATAGCGCATGCTTGCCCACTCATTTAAATTCTATTTTTATAGGTGAAAATAAGGTTTTTAAAAAAGGACTTAAATATCATGAGTCACTAAAACACAGAATATTTCACTTTTATCAAATTTGATTGGATTCCCTTAAAATCAGAGTTCTTCAGACTGATTTTCTAAAGCCCCTTTTTACATTTCCAACAGGAAGACATCATGAGCTGTAAGATTCAGTACCTTTTATGTCTCAGATCACACAGTTTTAGTATAAGTGTGCAAAGTGTTCTAGTTTTTAAAGGGGGAGAAAACACAGATGGTGAGGAATAGAACAGGATTCAACCTCACATAATGAACATGGTCAAGTTCAGAGGTGACATCACATACAAAAACATAGCTTAAAGACACTTTTTTTTTTAAGGACATAGGATTTTGTTTGTTTTTAATAAAAGTGAGGGAAAGCTGTGTCAATAAAACTAAAACATAAAACTTGAAAGGCTCAGAAGGCTCCAATTGAATTAGAAACGATCCAGGCACTGATACTTGAAGCTCTGAGTTATAATCATCTACTCCCATGATGACAATGGCTGGGAACAGCTTTCTCATGGCATTTTTTAATATGGGAAAGAAAGAGAAAAACGGAGGCAGAAACACCAGGTTATTTCTACTCAATATAAGAACATGAATAAGTTAGACATTACACATCGTTCTTCAAGTGATTCAAGAAGTCAGTAGGTAAATCCACATGAATGGTTTTCCAAATCTCTCACTTGAAGAGGATTTCTAGGAAAGCAGAAACACTGTTTATAAGCAGTGTAAATACATACACTCTGGTGAAAAGCAGAAGAAGGTGAGAGTAGATACATAGAGAAGAAAAAGATGCTGACCCGGTGATCTGTGCCCACGTGAAGAAAACATGGAAACTGCTTTAAAATGACCAAAAATACCCTGAACAGACATTTCCCTCATTTCTCCGACACACAAAACAACAACTAAAATGAAGTGTTGAAAATTTAAAAATTAAACACCCCACACAGAGTTTACAGTATACTCAAACAATGCAGCAAGCCAGATTGTACAAACCATTTGTTAAAAAAATATCTTCTTTTATATTGTATGAACAAGTTGAAAGAGTCCCCTCCAAGTGTTCATTCACTGGCTCACCACTTGTGCGCAGATAATATGCAAACTCAGCTAGTTTCTTTAGTTTCTCTCTTTTCACACGTCTGCTTTACTGCTCCAGTAACGATTTGGATTAGAACAATCATTCTTGAGTAAATACTATCTTTCAGATGCCTGGGTGTGTCATCAAGATACTACTGGGGTCATATCCCACAACTGTAAAAAGAAAAAGAAGATATACAATGAACTAGAATTAAATTGTGTTGATGATAACCAATCCTTATAACTAAATTCAAGTAAATTTTTAAATTTAAGAAGCCATAATTATACTAAGATGATTCTGAAATCTTTAAAATAGTATTTTCCATCAAAAAGTACTATAACATAAACCTCAAAAACATGACCTTGGCAGCTGGAAGTTTTCATCCAGCTAATGGAGACTAAAAGCAGATTAGAGTCATTTAAGGAGGAAGGGAACTAAGCTATATTAGGCAGCAAATGGGTGCCAGGCATGTGCTGTGTCCCTTCAATATCTTATCTCATTTAATCTTCCAAACAGTTCAAAGGGTCTCATTTTAAAAAATAAAGGCTCTGAGACTCCAGAGTTTATTTTAAACTTGCTTAAAGTTTCAGAGGCCTGGCAGCTTCCAAAAGGGGTTATTTCAACCGCCTTATCCTGCTGCCTCTAAGAATGGACCACGATGGGCCTGGGAAGCAGAGCTCAGTGCGCTGGGCAAGCCTGTGCTACATGCCTGTGTGTTTCTCAGAAAATGAGGTAGGCGTGGCCCCTTCTGTCCAGAGCCTCTGCTGTGGTCCTCAGAGAGAACCTGGAGGGATGCTTGTGGATTAACCGATCTCATGGGGAAAGGTCTTGTTTATTACTTGTTGGCTTATCCAGTTCTACCATTCATCCAAAGCTCATCTCAAATCCCTCCTCCTTCACAGAGCCACTTTCAGCAGCACCACCTCCCTCTACGGAACGAACTCTTAAAGTAATTCTTGTCTGTATTGCTCTTCTGGCCACTGCATATGTGACCTATTATTAAGTGTCTTTTTAAGAGTATGTCTCCAACTGACCAGCTGTTCCTTACAGGCAAGAGCATGTCTGACCTTGGTGTGTACACCCTGTGCCTGGCATGGGCCTTGTATGTAAAAATGCTCACTGCCAAGGGAGCCCTCTGAGCAGGTTTCGCATAGCCGTGGTGCTCCTGTATATTCACGTAGGGCCAGACATGGAAAGCTCCTACCATGAGAGAGCATCCTACCTTAATAACCTTGTCAGTTCCCGAAGTCAGTAGCCATCCCCGGGTTGCATCAAAATGCACATGCACAATGTTGTGTTTACTGTCGTGGAAAGTGGCCGTGGGCGCTCGTCTGGAGGAAGCAAAGAACGTTTCCAAGAGTGAAAAGTCATGACATAGGAATGAAGGATATCTAGAGTGACATTAAACTCTAATTTTTTAGCCAAATGGCTAAACGGCTTCACTGTTAGAAATGTTGCTCAGATTTAGCTTTATTCCCTGGTGACCTGGTAAAAAATTTTTTTTTTAAGTAAAGGATTCTGATATTCTCTAAAATGGGAAAGAGATTCAAAAGTCCCTTTTAGATTACTTGTCACTCTAATAGAGCTTATGAAAATCTCTGTGTTTTTGATAAATTAAAAAAGAAAACAAAATACCTCAGTGCTTTGGCTAAGTTTGATTTCAGGACTTGCTGGTAAAATAGTCTACCAAACACTGTTTTGCAGTTTTTTAATCTGTGCATATTTTTTAGTAAGAAGGTCTGTCAGCTGCCAGGCACTCTGAAGGCACGAGAAGAGGCAGAGCAGTGATGTGGGAAAGGCGACAGGAACATGGGAAAGGAGAGCTTTTCTCCAATATTCCAGTGGGCTTTCTGAAGATGTTTGTTTTCTATTTTTAATCTATAACTGAATCTAAATAGATCTTCAGCATAATAAAAATGGTTACTGTAAAATATTTAGAATTAAAGATTTAGGTTTAATTTGCAGACCCTTAGATCCTCCAGATCTGTGTCTTTATCTATAAAATGAAGAATTAGCTAGAGTATCTCTTAAGATCACATGCAGCTCTCTAATTTAATGAGAAGAACTCATATTCATTTCATCATGTATGATGAGTGGAAAATAATCAGTGGACAGAAATACTTCTGGAAGGGCATTTTAATTTATATATGATATGGATAAATAATATTGAAAAACACATAAGTTAGGATTATTTGTAAAAGAATACTTTATTAATTTGCCATGAATTCCCTTTAAATGCTAATTTACTCTGGTGAATTTTAAATGCTTATATTTACATGCATCTTTTAAGACACCCATCTAGTACTTACATGATTTTACTATATACAAGGCCCTAGAAGTATGTGGGGGTAGGAGCATTAGGCAGCCCTTTTCCTATGAAATTCTGCTGTAATTCACTAAACGGAAAACTTGTTGCAGGGCATTCTGTTTTCTTTTGGGGCAGTTTTTAATTAGCCAACACTAAAGAGACAGCATAGATTTGTCCCACCTACTAAGCACTGACACAGCAACCTAAGGTCCTGGTTTTCTGGACAAGACTGACCAGCAAGACTTAGTAGTTGGGCAACTGGTAGCATTTGTTTCTTAGGTAAAGTGGCTTAGCTCTTCTTGGAAAACGAAACCTCTAGAGCAGTGGTTCTCAACCTTCCTAATGCCGCGACCCTTTAATACAGTTCCTCATGTTGTGGTGACCCCCAACCATAAAATTCTTTTCGTTGCTACTTCATAACTGTAATTTTGCTACTGTTATGAATCGTAATGTAAATATCTGATATGCAGGATGTATTTTCATTGTTACAAATGGAACATAATTAAAGCATAGTGATTAATCACAAAAACAATATGTAATTATATATGTTTTCCGATGGTCTTAGGTGACCCCTGTGAAAGGGTCGTTTGACCCCCAAAGGGGCTGCGACCCACAGGTTGAGAACTGCTGCTCTAGAGCAAGCATGTCAAACTCAAAGGCTAACACGGGCCAAATAAACAAGGGTTAAGTTTATGTGGGCCCCAAAAAACCAAAAGCTTCAATTTTCATAGAAACGTAGGTTTATTTCAATAGACATGCTGAATACAAAGGGCTGAAATAAATGAGGAATCATTAACATAAAATAGAACATTTTAATAAAAATTCGTATTTTTTCTTGAACATTAACTTACCAGACACTGAATAACTGCACAAATTAATAAGCGTAATACAAATAAACCTATTTTTCATGTTCTCCGAAAGCGAAATATTTCCTGTTGTGCACGCCAAACCAGTCAGTACAAGACTAATGACGTGGCAATTAGCTACTAAAATATTCGCTGCTAGTATTAGTGGAGAGAGATGGTGTGCCTGCGAGTAAGGGAAATGAATGCAATGCGATTATAGTAATCAGTCATTAGCAAACGTAGTTCATTATTAATAATTATGTATAATAGGACATTGTAAAAATTAAGTTACGAAATTTTTATTAAAACGTTTCTTATGTACCAGTATATTGGCTGGGCTGCAAAAATATTCATTGTGGGCCGGATGCAGCCAGTAGGCTGCGAGTTTGACACGCTTGCTCTAGAGCCTAGGGCTGATTTGGCTCCTGTAGAAGATACCAGCGTGGGCTAGAAAGTGAACCCTGGACTCCGAACTCCTGAGCACTTCTCAAGGAAATGAGTATACAGAAGGCTCTGCTGGAAGAACACCTATTTGCAATGCACATACCCCTGGGGTTGAGAAGAGCACAGGGATGCATTCTTTGTGAGTACTCTTCTCTCCCAAGTCACAAGAGAACACAATCTCTTGGTGGAAAGGTGGGCTTTGCCCACTTGCCAGGATCTGCACTCTAAACCAGCAGGAGCTAGGGCATCAGTAGTCACAACTGTGTGCTGGGTGCAGCTCAGTTCACATTCTCTCCTTAACCTTGACAATTTTGCAGGCTGCTGGAACTTACTCTTCATCTGTGATGGCCTCGTGGCAGCTGTCACAGACCCTCACTTCAAACTCGAAGCCCATCAGGGGGATGGAGGAACGTTTGGAGCTGCACTTGCCGCAGACAGCCTTCCCGCACTTGCGGCAGTGGTGCTGCAGAGAGAGAACGGAGACTTGTTAGGGCAGCCGTACCTCAGCATCTCGGGGTATCTCAACAGTGATCAACAGCATTTAGCTGAGGATGCTAAACAAGGTTGCCCCCAAAACTGAAAGGAACACACCAGTTGTGTTTATTCAGAATGAGGACTGCTGGGAAACACATCTGACTGCCACCTCCCTTCTGCTCCTTACCCCATTTTTGGTCCTCTCTGGTTATCATCACTATGATCTCTAGAGGAACCACCCAGCAGTCAGGTTATCTTAAAGCTGAGTGTAATGAGGAAGTGCCATCTCCGAGATTATGCTGCCTCATGAAGGAGAATAGGAATGAACCCTGATTCAATCCATTGTCTATACCAGTGATGGTGAACCTTTTGAGCTCGACGTGTCAGCATTTTGAAAAACCCTAACTTAACTCTGGTGCCGTGTCACATATAGAAATTTTTTGATATTTGCAACCATAGTAAAACAAAGATTTATATTTTTGATATTTATTTTATATATTTAAATGCCATTTAACAAAGAAAAATCAACCAAAGAAATGAGTTTGCGTGTCACCTCTGACACGCGTGTCATAGGTTCGCCATCACTGGTCTATACTCTAGTCACGCCCAATCTAGGTGAGCAATGAAATCAACTTTTGGTGTCTTAGGGATGACCAAACCCAAGCATGGAATCAGACTGAAATGTTGTATTATAAGTAGACTCAAATAACTAAAACTAAGACATAAGAAGGACCAGTGAAATTATTAAGAATAAATAAATACCACTTCTATAATTGCATGGTTTGGTACCAATATGAGCTAAAGCATCATCCCTCTAACTTTAAGGTATATTTCAATAGATGCCAGTAGAATTCTAAAGTCATATACCTTAACTACTTACTGGGGACAGATCTCTATAAAACTGAATCCAGTAGGAATGAGCTATAGCAGATAAAGGGAACAAATTAATGTGCACTCACAAAGAGACTCCATGATAATAATTTACCCCTATTTCTTCCAAGATCACAAGGTAAAGTTATTTACACATGATTACATTTTTTTAAAAATATATTTTATTGATTTTTTTACAGAGAGGAAGGGAGAGGGATAGAGAGTTGGAAACATCAATGAGAGAGAAACATCGATCAGCTGCCTCCTGCACACTCCCTACTGGGGATGTGCCCACAACCAAGGTACATGCCCTTGACTGGAATCGAACCTGGGACCCTTGAGTCTACAGGCCGACGCTCTATCCACTGAGCCAAACCGGTTAGGGCACACGATTAGATATTGATGAAGCAGCCACATCACTCACCTGTCTTAGGCCAATTTTCCTACTGTCCCACATTTGCTTGAAGTTCCAGAAGAAAGGCTGATCACACTTTTGGCAGGAATCACTGTCTAACCATTCAGGGGTCTTGTCAAATAAAACACAAAGCAGGTCACAGTGAGAAACAGTGACCTAAGGTTACTTGATGTAACTTACATTGATGAAACAGAATCAGGATATGCTTATAAGAAACAGAAGCACACTTTCTCAATCATTTAAAAAATATTTATAAATGTCTATTAGGTGTCAGGCCCTGGGATGTAGTGATGAATAAAAAGAATCTCATGGAGAATCATCATGGTAGGCTAAACATGAAAATATTATTAATCATAATTATTTAAGTAAGTATCAGTGCAAAGGCCTGAAAAGAAGCACAGAGTGCTGAGTGCTATGACCTAGGCGGAGTTCAGGGGTGTTCAGGGGGAGCTGGGGCTTTATCAGCAGTCTTGAGAGCCACCTTGAGGATTCAGGACTGTAGCTCATTCTCTGACCGTATGTAATTATATCTGCTTTGTGTACAATTATGTAATTGCACATTACACGTACACACAGCTTTCTGTGTTGGAGGGACAGAACCTGACCACGGTAGCTCCTCAGAGATGCAACTTGTCCCTGTCCACTCGTGGCACAGCCCAGCAGGGTTTGAAACTCTGCTCCTTGCCTCATGTGTCACACAATAGCCCGACTTCGTTCACTATTTCCCAGCCCCATCACAAATACTCTAAACTATGTCAAACAGGTTCAAAAGTTGTGTGAAGTTTAAAGCTATTCTCCAGCAAATCTTCATAGATTAGGCTTATAGTGACTCTACATTTGCTTCTACAGTTCCATGTTCATCTCTGTAAATTCATCACCTGGCAGAGGCACTGATCTCTTTCCACGTGTCACCAAACCCAAGGAACCTTGAAAAATAAACCCAATCCCAGGGTTTTCCAAAAGTGAATTCCAGGGAACTCCCATTTGACTCAATGTAAAAGAGGCCTGAGATCAAACAAGTTTGTGAAACAAGTAAACAATAGCCTGTTTCCTCTCTGAGATTCATAATAGACAGCAGTGTAATAAAGGCCTGGGAAGGCCTTTTTCTTTTTGAAACTGCTCTTTTTTAAAAATATATTTTTATTGATTTCAGAGAGGAAGGAAGAGGAAGAGAGAGATAGAAACATCAATGATGAGACAGAATCATTGACTGGCCACTGCCTGCACGCCCCACACTGGGGATTAAGCTCACAACCCAGGCATGTGCCCCTGACCGGGATCAAACCTAGAACCTTTCAGTCCACAGGCTGATGATCTATCCACTGAGCCAAACTGGTTAGGGTGAAGGCCTTTTTCTATTGCTGTAATCCTTTTCTAAGGAATACCTATTAAGGAACAGTTTTAGGGATTTAGCATATTCTCCTACCTTCAAACAGAAATAAACCTAAAGCTATACATGTTCTCAAAAGAAAAGTAAAAGGGTGACATTTTAAGAGCTCTAATTCCCTTTTTTTTAAAAGAATAGTTTATTGCTTTTAGAGAGAGGAAGGGGAGGGAGAGAGAGAAACACTGATGTAAGAGCCAAACATCCCCACTCCCCACCGGGGATCAAGTCCAAAACCCAGGCATGTGCTCTGACCAGGAATCAATCGAACAAGCAACTTCCCGGTGCACAGGATGACAGCCAACCAACTGAGCCAAAACCGAAGAAAGTAAGCCTTAAGTCGCTTCGTAATTTTCATGTCTTAGTCAATTTAAAGCCAGATTTAAGACAATAATACAAAGGTTTTAGCTAAAGACATTTTACACCTAAAAGCCATACCTATGTTGTGATTTTTTAGAACAGTTCTGATGCAGGAAGATTTACAGAAAACTTTAACATACACACATCACTGCATCTTTTACAAGGAAGCATGCAAGGTTTAGGACGCATATCAAATGCATCACAGTGGTGTCTATGAATGAGGAGGGAGTTGGGAGTAAGTATCGGGTAAGGGAAAAAAATTAAATCACCATGTGATGTGTAGTATAATTCAATCTCATTTTTTGTTAAAAAAACCTTCCATATGTGTATATGTAGAGAAAAGTGTAAGGAAGAATACTTGCCTGTTAAGTGTGATATTTCTGGGTGTATATTTCAGGGGATATATCATGAGTAACTACATTCTATTTGTTAGTGAGCACTCTGTAATTTTCTACGAAGTGTACTTTATTACATACACTTTGAAAAAATGATAAAATGTTAAAAAAAATGGATGTTATTAACCTAAGGGATATCAACCCAATGCGATCAGCCACTTGATGTCTTCACCGTCTGCCCCACCCCCCAGCTAGCCTTTCGTTTCTGCTGGCTTCCCCTGCGCATGCGCACCAATGCTCCATGTGCCATGGCTCATGTTCATCTGGTCTTTATTCTTGCTGTTTCTTGTCCTGGGCAGAGCACGTTCAGACCCCATCAATCTTTTAGAACTATGTCCTTCCACACACCCTTCTCTGAGACTATCAGATGACAATAGTAACATTTCTTCCTAAATATCCAGAACTAATGCCCTATCTTACATCTACTGCAATTAATTCATTTGTACCATTTCATAGTTTCCTTAAGTTTTCTCTCACATGTCTTTTCTTCTAGAAAGCCTGCCAGCGCTGCAGGGCAGGGACTGCCTCATCACAGTCTCAGACCTCCCCAGGTGAGCACTGCACAGCACTTGCCATACAAGGAAGGTGCTCCACAGATACATCTCGGGATTTCTGTTTATATGACACTTGCAAAAAAAATGGATGGAACCATCTCTACTGCTCATTTAGAGTTCTGAATCACTCAGTAAGATTTAAAATAGTCAACAAGTACCGAGTGCTCATATATCTGGATGTCAAAAGGCATAATTTTAAGCAAGATGGCTCTAAGGACTGCCCACCAGCCACCTGGTTTCATTATCCTCCTTTGGGCCTTTGCCCATCATGGGTAGAGCCTGCCTGCTGTTCAGAATGAGTTGCCCCTCACAACAAGATGTGCCTTGATGGTATTGGGATTCTTTTGAGCTAAAGGCACCTGAGACCCTGCAAGGTCAACATAAACTTTTATCTGTCCCTTAAAGAATATCTATAGGGCAGGGCAAACGTCTAATTACTGAACATGCTCTTCTTACTGTCCTACAATGATCTTCCTTCCTTCTGAAACCCCAAGGTGATTCCTAGCTTAGAATATGATTATTACGTCATTTTCCCTCTCTGTCTTTGAATCTCTCATGTATGTAAGTTCTCTGACTCTCTCACATATGTGGAGTTCCCATACATATGTATGTGTTATATTCGGTTATTTTATCTTGTTAATCCGTTCCATGTCTATTTGAAACTTAGACCAGCTGAAAGACCGTGAGGGTAGAGAAACGCTTCTCCCTCACACAGTGCACTGAGGGGAAGGAGCCCACTGGTCCTCTCCTCCCAGGTCAGGCCAGTCAGGCCAGGGAAGAGGCCGGGCAGACTGGCTGTGATTGTGCCTCACCTGCAGCAGCTCCCATGTAGAACCACGCTCCAATGGACAGCCTGGCAGCATGGCTAGCACACAAGGCATTGATTTCCATGCCTTTATACTGATGGGGCCAAAGGGTACTTTGAAAAGCAATATTCTATAATTCCCTACTTCCTAACAATAATGACCATTTTAATTAGTTACTAATGGAACTCCTGTGGATTTATGGTTTCAGCAAATCAAGTTTTAATCTTCTGAAACATTTAATTACTGACATTTGAAAGGCATTAGATTGTGGGTAACATTCTCTTGAAATGAGATTGGATGAGGGCAGGGAAGGAAGTTGGGAAATTGCTTTTGTCTTTTTTTAAAGTGTTGCTTTTCTGAAACTGGAAAAGCATACAATGCCAATGGGAAAGTTTACCCACCATCATTCTAGGGAAAGGAGAATATATAGTTACCTTCAATGTACTTGTCAAAGGGGATATTCAGTAAACATATCACTTGTTAAGACACTCAAAGGTGAAAAAGAAAGGTAAAACTTAGTAATATATGCTGAAACTGTCAAAGTATATATTTATATCTGGAGAACTATTTAGGAGATGACTCATAAAGAAGCATAAAATAATAATTTTGAATATTTCTATTAATAATTAAAGAATGTTACCTCATCAAATACCATTTCTCACACACGAGTGATCATTTCTATCAATACATAAAATACATGAGTTTTCTGTTTTCATAGGGCACTTTATACCCAAGGACTAATCACCTGAAAAGAGAAGGTTCCTTTTTCTCACCTGAAATTTTGTTGTGAATGTTGCAACAAATTTAAAGTCTACACAGCTTACTCTCGGTCTAAATTCTTATGAAATCTCCATCACTTAAATGTTAAATGCCAATTTGTGAGAGGCAAAAAAACAGAAACTCCTATTCTACCAAAATGTTTTTCCTCTAACATATCATGTCTTATTTCAAGGCTTAATTGTAAAAGAAATAAGAAATGAGCAGGAGGGCCAGCTGAGTTGTTTTTCAGCATAGCCAAGAATGGCAGAGCCCAGACCAGCAGCTGTGCACCTACCTCCTGCCTCTCCACGTCCATGTTCCAGATGACTATGCCACCATCACTGCCACATGAGATGAGCTGCCGCGTGTGCTGTGCATAGGAGAGGGCCTGGATTTTGTCACTGTGAAAGAAAACAAGAGGTAGCCTCAATGCAGGAGAGCAAGTGAAAGCCCAGAGGGAAGGAAGCTCAGCAGTCAGGGAATGAGCACACTCACTGCTAAGCCCCAAGTGCAGACCTTAGAAACGGGCTGGAAGTGTCAATATGCCAACTGTGGAAGGGCACTCAAGGTTAAAAGTCAGAATGCTTATTTAAGATCCTGAGGCCAGCCAATCTTTGTTACATGGAAGGAGAAAAACTGATTGTTAAATTGGCTGTAACATATTACTGGTTCTTTCCCTAAATGATTAAATAAACAATTATGTGCACGTGTTCATGTTATACTTGTTCAAGAGTCATGATTTCCTTTCTAAAAAGGTATCTTTTATATAACCAAAATATATAAGGAACTCATACAACTTAACAAAAGGAAGACAAACAATCCAATTAAAAATGGGCAAAGGACCTAAATAGACACTCCTCCAAAGTGGACGTACAGCTGGCCAAGAGACATATGAAAAAATGCTCAAAGTCACTAATCATCCAAGAGATGCAAATTAAAACCACAATGAGGTATCATCTCACACCTGTCAGAATGGCTACCATCAACAAATCAACAAACAACAACTGCTGGTGAGTCTATGGAGTAAAGGGAACCCTAGCACACTGATGGTGGAAATGTAGACTGGTGCAGCCACTATGGAAAACAGTATGGCATTTCCACAAAAAATTAAATATGGAATTGCCATTTGACCTAGTGATCCCACTTCTAGGAATATAGCCTAAGAAATCTGAAACACAAATCAGAAAGAATGTATGCACCCCAATGTTCACAGCAGCACAATTTATAATAGCTAAGATCTAGAAACAGCCCAAGTGCCCATCAGTAGATGAGTGGATAAAAAAGCTATGGTACATTTACACCAGGGAATACTATGCAGTTGTAATAAAATAAAAAAAGAAAAGGATCTCTTACCCTTTGAGACAGCATGGAGGGACCTGGAGAGTATTATGCTAAATGAAATAAGCCAGTCAGGGAAATACAAGTATCACATGATCTCACTCATATGTGGAACCTAATGAACAAAATAAACTAATGAACAAAATATATTCAGAGACATAGAAGCATAGAACAGACTGCAGAATCTCAGAGGGAAGGCGGGGGAAGGTGGATGGGTGGGAAGTGATCAACGAAAAAACTTGTATGCATATATGCATAACCCATGGACACACACAATAGGGTGGTGAACACCTGGGGTAAGGGGCCGGCTAGAAGGGGTCAATGGGGGTAAAGAGGGACATATGTAATGTTTTCAACAATAAAGATTTAATTTTAAAAAAGGTATCTTTTAAGAGTTTTGGAGGTTATCGATACAGATTTAACCCGACAGAGCCAGATGAACCGTGTTGTCTGGGGTGAGCAGCACGCCACGGGTGGCTTTCACAGGTAAGTCATTTCTTGGCTCTCAGAGTGAATCCTCAGCAGCATTAGACTCAAGCTACACTGACTCTATTTCTCTAGTTTTTATTCCCTCTTTACTGACTTGTGTTTATTTTTCTTTCTAGTCCATGCATGGTTGATAAATCATTCCCTCTTGGTGGCAGCCATGATGGAGAATTCAGTTTTATGGTCTGACAAGCTGATGATAACTAACAAAAAATCCTAGAGATATAATTTCTGTTGGGTGGGAGAGAGCAGGGAATCTGAGTTCTTGGTCATTTTTGTTTGAATACTGTTCTATCTTGAGTTCAAATCAATTAAGAATTCTGTGCCCCCTGGGAAGAAGAGCAGCACTTTGAAATATGGACTGGTGATGTTTTGTGTTTACTTTTGACCCACGGCTGAAGCTGTAGAACTGAAGCTATTAAGCTCTATGTGTTTGTGCCTACAATTCAGAAAAACCTGTATCTTTTTAGTCTCTCTATATAAAAGCCTAAGTGACCATCTGACCGTCCAGTAGCTATGATGTGCAATGACCACCAGGGGGCAGATGCTCAATGCACAGGCATGGAAACATGGAACAGATTGATGAATCTCAGAGGGAAGAGATTAACCAAAGATCTTATATGCATACTAGAGGCCTGGTGCACAGATTCGTGCACTGGTGAGATCCCTTGGCCTGGCCTGTGGGGATCGGGCCAAAACCAGCTCTCCAACATCCCCTGAGGGGTCCCGGATTGCGAGAGGGCGCAGGCCAGGCCGAGGGATCCCACCGATGCACAAATCTGTGCACCAGGCCTCTAGCTAATATATATTCTTATTGATTTCAAAGAGGAAGGAGGAGGAAGAGAGAGATAGAAACATCAATGATGACAGAGAATCATTGATCAGCTGCCTTCTACACGCCCCCTACTGGGGATCGAGCCCACAGCCTGGGCATGTGCCCTGACTGGGAATTGAACCCTGACCTCTGGTTCATAGGTCGAAGTTCAACGGCAAGGCTTTTATCTTTTGTAGTATATGGAACATTTTCCTATTTCCAGAGTGTATCAATAAATTAGATTATAGCACATTTTAAATTATAAAACATGTTCTGTTTGGTTAATAAAGATTGCAAGTACTTACAAACGGAATATTCCTAAATTTCACAGAAAATAAGAAAATTGAACCCCTACAACTTTAAATTTACTAGACATAAAAATAATTTTATAGAAAATGTTATTTAACTCAATAAAAATTTTAGAATTTAAGTTCACAAAATTAAGGTGACTCTTTGGCAAATGAGATTAGTATGATAAGTTTTAAGCACAGCTGTCTTTCTCTGATTTATCAGTGTTAAGTATAATGTAACTGTACATTTTATTTTATTTGAGTTGATTTCTCCTAAATTTATATAGGATAATGGGCCAAATAAGCTAATATTATGCTTGTATGTTTAAGATTATAAAAAATATACATTTGTGTTCAATTAAATGGAATACTTTTTCTGACAAACTTTTTATATAAATAGCAATTATATTTTATAGCATATCAACTTAGAGATAATTCCAAGATCTTTAAGTAACTTAAAAAAGACTAATAACTTGAGCTAACCATTTGATAATCATTGGACACCAACCTAGCTATATAATTTCCAAGTTAGAATACTGAAACTTTGATTACAAAGCATATTAAGTTTATATGTATTTGTTTCTTATTTTTCTACAGACTGGCTATGTGCTTCATGTCAATGAATGGGTTCATTTTTGCCACTTTAAGGGGATGAAAACTGATGTGTGTGTCGCAGTAGAAATTTGTTATATGTGTTTGTGAGTTTTGTTAGTCTGCTAAAATGCCTGCGTATGATAGACAGTTCTTAATTATCTTACATCCTCCTGAGGAAATACAGGTTAGTTCTTTGGTTAATTATTATCATTAAAATGGGTTGTTGAGGCTGACAGTTTCAAATAAAAAAATACAATAGTATATACACTTTATTTTTGGTGGTGATTAGGTGAGGAATTTTTATTCTACATTTTAAAATGTTTTTTAGTAGCTTTATTAAGAAATGCATGACATACTATAAGCTGCACATACATAAAATGTACAACTGATCCATGAAACTGTCACTACAAGCAAGGCTGTGATTTATCACCCCAGAGGTATTCTTTTGTCCTTTTGTAATCTCTCCCACCCAACTTTCCCCAGCCGTCCCCCAGGCAAACACTGTCACTACAGATTAGTTTGCATTTTCTAGAGTTTTACAAAAACAGAATTATATAGTATGGGTTTTAAACAAATGTTTGGTTTCTTTTACTCAGTGTAATTTAAGATTTATTTTTCTTGTTTGGTGTATCAACAGTTTTTTTGAGTTGTATTTTATTCATTATTTATCCATTTTTTAATTGATGGATATTTGAGCTGTTTCCAGGTTGAAGTGATTACAAAAAATAAAACCATGTTCTTTGAAGTACAAGTCTTTGAATGGACAGATACATAGGATGGTTCCAGAATGGCTGGATTACATGGCAGATGCATTTAATTTTTAAGTGACTGCTATACTGTTCTCCAAAGTGGTGTACTGTTTCTATGCCCACCAACAGTGCAAAAACAAGGTGAGAGAACATCCCCAGGTTCACAGATTAATGGTTATAAAGAATAAACTATATCTTCTTCTTGCATTTATGTTTCATCTGACATCACGGTAGCATTTATACTAGAAAGCATTTCAAAACTGGTTATTATTTCATGGTTGAGTGCTGCAATGCCAATGATCTTACATCTGCATAAAAACCCCACTTTCCACAGCCACCAGTATCTGCCATCACAAAGACTCTACTCAGTGGGATGGCTTCATTTCCTTTCTCACCAGCCCTAGAGGTAACATATATCTGATCAGGCCCAGCTACATAATTTGGGGGGCCCACTGCAAAATGAAAATACAGGGCCCCTTGTTAAAAATTTGAGAATTACAATATAGTGACAGCAGAGCATTAAAACAAGTGTGAGGACCTTCTAAGCATGGGGCCTTGTGTGGCTACATAGGTTGCAGAACCAATGAAGCTGGTCCTGTGTCTGAAGCTTCTTAAGCAGAAGGGAAAAGAAGCCATTATCCTATTCACAGAAACAGATTTTCAGGCACAGGCTAACATCTGCCCAAATGTCAACTTAGGCCCTCTTCCATCCCTTAATAGCATGGGGGACTTTGAGGATGCTTATAATAAAAGTCATACACATGGTAAGTGAGCAGGAAGAGAGAAACCTACAGCTGTGGTTGTGAGACTAAGAAGCAAATACAGAAGCCATGAGTGCCAAGGGTCATGGCTGTGACCAAGCCTCAGGCAACCTGTAGATCCCAAGAAGGGACCCATCACAAGGGACCACACAGACTTTTTATCTGTACTTTAAATCAAGTTAACATTAAATTAAATTGCCAAAAAGTCTTTAGGAGCCTAGGAAAACATTGTTATAAGAAAAATTATGGTCCTAAAGTTGATCATGGAATGATATTATCTAAGAATAAAAAAGGATCTAAAAAGCCCTTGTGCCCTAGCTAGTTTGGCTCAGTGGATAGAGCGCTGGCCTGCGGGACTGAAGGGTCCCA